TTGTTGGGGGGGGGGGGGTGGCCTTTATTTACTAATGGGCCCTCTGCCTAAAAATCAGAAGTAACTTTGCTGATTTCCTCCAATCCTGTGGACATTTTCAGTGATACCTACCAAGGCCCTGTGTGGGAGGAGGAGAGAGAGGCTGGTACACACACACACATGCGTGTACACACACACACACACACGCCTGCACACGCACATGCCCCGTAGACCTGCCAGGCTGAGGGTTCTCACCGAGCAGCACACAGGCCTCTGGTTCAGGACCAAGACCTCGCAGGGATCACTGCTGGAGGCTGTGCTTCCCCAGAGCAGGGCTCGGTGCCGGCCGGGAGGAAGTGACCTCCTCTGGGATGCCCTTGGCCACTCTGCTGGCCCGGCCGCACCCTCTGTCAGCTTCCGTTCTCCCTGAACCCAGAGTTGCTGACCCTCCACTGCAACAGGAAACTTCAGAGTCAGCTGAATGCTCAGAAATGCCATGCGAGCCCCAGGAAGGAGCCCCGGGGTGAGACCTCCCAGGGCGAGACGCGCTGCCTCTCTTCCGTGGCTCGGGCCGCCTGCAGGCTGCTGGAAGGATCTCTGGCCCCAGAGGCTCTGATGAGACCCCTTTCTGGACTGACCACTGACCCAAGCAGCTGGCCCACACCTGGCAGAAAGAGCAAAAAGGAGAAAAGGCTGGTTTTCTCGTTTCTTCCACACGCCCACTGCCTGGAGACGCTCTGCCAGCCCCGTTCATCTGGCTCCTCTGAGACCCACCTCTGCCCCCACGCTGGCTCACCCGAGGCCTGCGGCGGCAGGAAGAGGAGCGTGATCCCCCAACACGCCATCTGCACCCCAGCTCCAAGGCCAGCAGTGCCGGGGGCGCAGGAGGATAAAGGGCGGACTCTGAGGGACCAAGGCCATGGCTGGCCACCAACACAGACAACCCAGGCCAAGGGCCTGGATGCAGGCTCTGAGGGTCCCTCAGCCTTCGGGGTCATCTCTCTCCGGCCCTTTCTTCTCTTTTATGGCTCCCACCCTTTCCCTTCCAGTTGCCCCCAAAGGTCCACCTCCGTCCTGCTGGGAGCCTGGGGACCAGTTACCACTAACCCCTCATTCTATAGAGCTTTAAGGGAATCACTCACAGGGTATGTTGTTGTCTACCTCACATATATAGATTTTAGGGCAAAAAGAGAATAATTTATATAGCTAAGATATATGAGAAAATATTTATGTTATTTATATAGTTTCTATATTCTATGGGCAGCACCTGTGGCATGACTCCCCCCCCCCCTTTCTGCATGAGCCCTAGTGGCTCGATCCTGATCCTCCTTGTGAAGTCTGGAACTTCTCTGCTCTTCTGGTCCCAGGCCCCCTCTTCTGCTCTGGCAACGCTGTCCTGCTCCTAATAGTAATGACAACAAGGACGACCACATCTCGAATCTGTAAAGCACTTTCAATCTTCAGAAACACCTTTGTCCCCATCATCTCACCTGCTTTCCCCATTAGCCCTGTGAGGTCGGTGGGACCACGTCACTGTGCCCATTATACAGATGTGGCCCAGGATGGGAAGGCTGTGCTCAAAGTCTCACCGAAGAGGGCCCTTCAATGAATATTGACTGAACTTCTCTTGGGCCAGGCACTGTGCGGGCTGACTTATCGCCTGGATACGCCCTGAGCCCAAGGACCCAAGGCAGCGGCTGCTTCCCTGGCGGTGGGTGGCATGGGCCATTTGGATCAGGACAGCACTTCCACATTTTTCCAAATGGATTCTTGCGTCTCAGGGGCCAGGACTGCCCAAGGAGGCTGGAGAGACAAGGACCCAATGGGGGTCACTCCAAGGGCTCCACCATCGGGCCCCCCTCCTCCTGTCCAGGCTGCCCGAGAGGGTCAGGCGACTTCACAGGGCTCCTCCCAGCCACAGATGGGTTTGCTTTTATTTGTGTTTTTATTTAAAAAAATGAATTGTTGCCGTTGGATTTCTGGCTTCTCCTGTAAAATCAGCTGCACCTGTAGACTGGGCCTGCAGTGCCACCTGGCCACAGTCCGCTAGAGAGGGGGAGCCCTAAGAGACAGAAGGCACGGGGCTCCCCAGTTTGCCAAGTACCAGCCGCCTCAGCCCACTTTACTTATGGATGTTCCACCTGGACCTCATGGGCACATCATGTCCATCCCCTGGTGCAGACACACCCGGCGTCCCTCATGTCCTCCACTGCCCGGCAGACAGAGCGACAGACCTGTGCCAACCCTGACGGTTATTCCTTGCTTTCCAGGGGTATTTTATTTTTCTCAACAACCATGAACTTCAAATGCTTTTTGTCTTAGCACATTTGGGATTGCCGTGGAGCTGTCATGGATTGAGCACCTTGTTCTGCCCATCCATGCAACCAGCAATTGCTTAGGGAGTTCCTGCTGGGTGCCCGCACCACCTGGAGGCTAGGGTGCAGCAGTGAGCGACGTGCCTGCCTCGTGGGGCTGACACTCCAGTGGGGGGTGGGGAGGTGACAATAAACCAATAAACTACATGTCAGCTTCTATACCCATTTTGTCTCGATTTATTGCAATCACCTTACACACTAGGCACAGCTACCACTATCTGCTGGTTAAGGAAATGAAGGTGGTGAGACAGAAAAGCTCCCAAATGCCACTAGCAAGCAGTGGTGTCAGGATTGAACTGCAGAACCTCCAAAGTGTGTATTCCCTCCTCTCTCCACCGGCTGTCCCCCTCAGATGTAGGTATTTCAGGGGTGGATCACCCCCCCTTTTATGGATTCTGGTAACCTGGGGCCTCAAGGAAGGGGGTAACCCATCCAAGGTTGCATGCCATGTCAGATCAGGCTGGAGCCTGGCCCCCTCCCAGACAGGGTAAGTATTTCTAGAGCCCTCTTTTCATGGCCAGCAATGCAGGTTTCGGGGAGGGGGGCAAGACAAGGCAAAGCCAGAACCTTCAGGACTTACGATTGGTTAGGAGAAATGAGAGGGATGACTGTGCATTTGTTTGGGTCATTTGTGTGTCAGCCCAAGAGTCCCTCCTCTGGCCACACTGCCTTCCCAGCATGCTTTGGGAAATGCAGGTCCTCAACCAGCCACTGCTCCTGGGGGGGTCTGATGGGGCCAGAGGCACTGCCCGGCCCCCACTCTCCAGTCTCGCTGGGATCCACAGGGGTCCCCAGGGAGGGAGGCAGAGGGAGGTCCATAGTCCAACCCCAAGGGCACCGACAGTTCCACCAGCATGGCTGTCCTAATGGGCTCTTCCTGCCCAGTGTTCCGGGCCTGGAGTGGAGACAGGTGTGTCCACACACAGCAGGTTCCAGGGCACTGAGGGATTTCCCGCACGAGCCTCACAGGAAGGGCATCCTTCTTCCCTTTACAGACAGGGAAACCGAGGCACACAACGGTTAAGGGACTCACTGAAGGCCACATAGCTAGGAAGCCCACCCAGGTCTTTGCCTCCAAATCTATGTTCTTTCTACTCTACATAACTTTCAGCCACCCCCAACCCCCAGTGGGAGGAGGCTGAAAGTTACATAGAGTAGGAAGGTCCTTTGCTGCTCTTTTGTCCATAAACTGGTTCCCAATCAAACCCTCTGGCCTCTCCACCCTTAGCTGCTCGGTGCTCCACTCTTCCTGGGGATCGAGCAGTGCTTTCCGAGACAATCGCTAGGTGGGTACTTACCCACGGGAACCCCCCCTTTAAAAGTACTTAGCCACATTTGCTCGCTCTGCCTGCATGCATTTTCTTGAGCCATTTAGGAAAACATTGCAGACACCAAGACACATAAATATGTCCCCATATATCTCCTAAGAACAAGAACATTCTCCAAAAGAGCCACAAGGCCATCATCACATCCAAGAAATCTGACGTTGACACAATATTAACTACTACACAGTCTTTACTCAGACTTCCCCAATTGTCCCTCCAAATTTCCTTTTAAGTTTTTTCCTGATTCAGGATCCACTCAAGAATCAGGCATTGCATTTTGTTGTCATGTCTCTCTAGCCCCCTGTGATCACGAATACTCGCCCCGCCTTCTTCGTGTTCATGACATTGCCATTTTTGAATTGTTCCGGCTGGATGTCTTGTAGAATGTTACTCAGTGGAGATGTGTCTGATTGGTTCCTGATGATTAAATTCTGGTTAAACACTTTGGCAAGACGTTTACTTGGGCAATGGGTGTCCTTCTCTGTGCATGTGGTCAGGAGCCGTGGATGCCGGTTGTCAACATCACTGGTGATGTTGGATTTCATCACTCGGTTAACATGGTTTCTGCCAGATCTCTCTGATGAAGAGTTGCCTTTTTCCCTTTGTGGTTCAGGTGATGTATGACTCATCTATGGAGTGATGCTCTGAGACGGGGAATATCCTGTGGCCCAATAATATTTTACCCAATAGTTTCAGTCTCCATTGGTGATCCTTGCCCAAATTGATTACAAATGGTGATTTTTCTAATTCTGTCATTCCTATTTTTAGTTGGCATTCTTCCATAAGAAGAGATTTCCCTTCTCCATTACCCACATGGTATTTCTTTTAATCCTCACAATCTGCAGGGTAAGAATTGTTATCCCATTTTACAGAGGAGAAAACTGAGGTTCAGGAAACTTAAGTCATTTGCCAAGTGAGTGGCAGAGCTGAGATCCAAAATTGGGCCTTTCTCATGCCTAAGCTCACACCCACTACCCTCTGGAATCTTCTCAAATGCCTGGGCTTCTTCTCTGATGACCTAGCTCAAAGTGGGGAGTGGGGAGTGGTACCATCTTCCAGTGGAATTCCTGTAGCAATGGTGGAAGACGTTTAGGCCAGTGGTGGGGGGAGAGGAAGGAGATTCCTCTCTTGAAACCATGAGACAGGCTTGCTCCTGTTTCCCTGGTCCACCTCCAACC